TTAGTTTTATTGTCTAAATATAATCTTTGTACCTATAATATCATGTGCTCATATGGACAAAAAAATAAAATAAATGTAAGTTAAATATTTAAATAAAATTTGATCATTTAACTTACCATCCATATAATATAAGACATGTATATTATATCACATCAATCCTATCAAATTTCATAATATTAAATAATTTCACATCACAATTATATTTGATTCATATAAACGCCTCTCAAAAGATCGACACTATGCTTCAAACAGAGATATTAACATTTGTAGGTTATATTGAAATTGATACTATACTAGATATTCTCTAACTACTAATACCATTCTGACTTCCCTATCCACAAAGTGGGACTACTGACAACAATATCTGTCTTTATGCATCTCTCTTGTGAACTTATGGCAAGTCATCAGTAAAATCTGAGATCTCATTGAATCCACACAAACATAGTAATCGTAGTAGCACTACATAATACCTTTCTGATTACCCACAATCATACACATCTCAATTGATTATGGATCAAATCCCTTATTCTATTTAGCCTCACATTTACAAATATATTTCAGTATTAAGAACATGTAACATCATCATATCATCTCCTAATTCACCACACCTGTAATTTTCTTACATTTATAATAAACTGGATTTGTTTTGGACTAGATACTATAATTATCTTTTTTTTTTATTTGACCTTTTTCTACTATTTTGGTCTTAACTTTCTATGTAGTTATATTTTTTGGTTAACTCTTATTTCATTGGATTCCTCGTTTCAAGGGTCTCAATTCAAATATATGGAACATAAAATTTTGAGTTCCGAACTATTTTTTATAACTTTTAGAAGTTTAGACAAAAAATATCTTGAGAATTTTGCTTGAACGATTATTAAACAACATCAATTCTCTCTCCTCTCGCTTGAGCAAAATTTTAGCTAACTTAACTCTCATTTTAGCGAAAATTGAATTAACTTGATTATCACTTAAGCAAAAAACTTTCACTTGAATAAATCGTCATCGCGTTAGGTCATCTCTTTCACTGCCTTACCCTTACTTTAGGGAATTAGGTCTTGCTTAAGCAGAAATTGACTCACCACAACACATCTAATAGGAGTATCATACAACATAAAAACACATAAATATTCCTTTTATTATCATTACAACACCAAGACATATGTACTTTTCTTTCCGACATATTATTACTTAAATAATCAACTTTCCTAATTTGGATACTTGTCAATCCTAATTTCTTCAAATGTATGTATAGCCCACAATCAATACTTCATTCCAACACTTGGGAATCACCTCCACATAACAATGACATGTCTTCACTATCTATATTTTTCCATTAAACCCATAAATAACCAAAACCACAACATAGAAGAAATGACTTACTCATTTAAAGTTCTATTCGGGCTTAATCTCTCCTTATCCCTTCAACTTTCTCTTGGCACTTCTGGATCTAAAATCTACTAGAGTTTCACTACTATAAATTTAGAGAGAGATTAGAGTGTTCCATTTAGAGAGATGAATACTTATAAAAACTATTTAGCTTAACCTTATATTTATAGAGTTTTTCAAGCAATTAAATATATTTTTTATAAAAAAAACTAGGTCGATAAAAAAATATTTTTAATAATTATAACAGAAAATACTATAATAATAAATATTTATTAAATAGAGTGGTTTATTAGGTTTAAAAACATTTTAAATAAGGTCTTTTTAAGCTAAATAATTTTTTTAAAATATTTTAAAAAAACTTGAACCTAATATAAGTTAGATAATAAATATAATTAATTTTCCAAAAGTTTAAACTTTTTCCACTCCTATTATATTGATCTAACTTAAGAAACTAATCCTACCTTTATTTCCTTTTTTCATAAACTTGAATATTCCCATTGAATCCAATATCACGCCTTTAAATCATTCAACCATATTCACTCCAACCAAACCAAACTACATTAGTATTATTAAATATATTAACATACTATTTACTAATAAATATAATTAATTTAACTAAATTATTGCCATAACCTATAATATTTATTAATCTACAATTTCATGAATGAATGATTTATGCAACAATTTACTTCATATTCCATGCTTCAAAAGAGGATCCCCACAAGGAATCATGTTGTAGCTTCCAACCATTTCCCACAAAATACTACCATTTTACATTCTCATATATATATGCAACAGCTCATTGCTTCACTGTTTCCAACTGTTTTTCTTCCTCGAAAAAAGTTTACTTGGTTAAGAAATTAAAAGATTTTTTTTATTAGAAATTATATGGGAATGCATTAAAAACTATATAAAAAAAATTACTTTTATGTATTTCAATTAACATTTTGTTACTCTCTTCATGACAAAATATTTTAATTGAAGTTTTTTTTTCAAATAAAAATATTACGTGACAATCTAAAAAACTATTATTTTTGTCTGGGGTAAAATAAATATTAATATAATTTATTCAGAGACCAATTAAAAATAAAATAATTAACACTTCACTGAAAACTAAAATATAACTCCATTAATTTTGTATAGATTAAAACTATAATTATTTAAAGATGAAATAAATAATATTTAATCATTAGTTTGTTTTGTTGCCATAAAAAATGAATATAAACTAATACCTCTCCTTCTCTAATAAAAGCATGAGTGAATGCAAGGTTTGTTTTCTACCCACATTCATTTCCCTTGCTACATTTTTGTGAAACTTCACCAACTCTCTGTGAATGTTATTTATTTTGGAATAACTCACTCACTTGTAATTTCAGTATTTGGGCCCCCTCTTTTCCACCCAAATGCCAAATGTTTCATTCTCGTACAAATACTATCTGGCAAACGTTTAGATACACCTCAACTTCTTGGTAGCTCACTTAATATCTTCAAAAAAAGTAGTATGGTATTGGTTAAAGAATTAATAAGGATTTTTTCTTATAAAAATTCATTGAAAAATGTATTGAAAATCATGTTGAGAAAACATTAATAATTTTTTATCACTCTTCCACATGTTATGTGCGAATATATAGTTTTATTTCGTTTATATATAAGTAAAGTTTTATTAGTTTTATCTAACAATTATGCTTTAGAAATTTTATCAATTGAGAAAAGATAATTTCATTTTTAAATATGTTAGGATTACATTCAACCTAATTATTCCTTTAAGAAAAAAAAAGTATAAAAGGTTAATAATTCAAATTATTAATAAATATTTTTTCATACTTTACATAATTCAATGAGATTTATTTTTTTAATTAATTTTTTTATTCATAATATTTGAATTTAAAACTTTATATTACAAAGCTTATTTTTAGAAGTCATTTACAAAAAATATTTATATTTTGTTGGTCATTATTCCACATAATTTAGAAATAGAGAATAAAGGTAATTTATATCCGGTATTCATTTTTAATTCATCATCTTTTAAGGATAAAATCATGATAAACTAAAATTACAAAACGATTAATACTCTAAATATGAGAATTAACTTTAGGATATTATCATATAAACGTTACGATATTATCATATAAACATGACATCAAAATATTCTCAATTGGAACATATTTTAATTCAAGATGATGATAGAATATTTTCTTTCTTAATTTTTTATAAATACATAATCAAATATTTCAATGCAATATTATAACTTATTTGGAGAAGAAATTGAAATACAGGTTTTAACATTTCATTAAAATCAGAAAATGTAAATCAGTATGATTCTTTAAATGCTAAAACATCAAACGTATTTTTTTTTTATGTATTGAAACAGTAATAGCATATAAGGAAATGGAAAAATTATTGAGAACCCAATATAATAATATATTGGACTGTCGTGTGTTCTTGACAAATTAGGTTGTAAAAGTATAATCTCACCCAGAACGAAATATTGTGTGTTCCAATAAAAATTTTGGTGCATGAGTGGATTACACAAATTCATTTACAACTGTTCTCCATACTTCAGACAAAATAATGTTGGCCAGTACCATTTTATGGAAGACTGAAAATCTATGCCATTGTTGACTCAAACCACACACGCAAGCAATGGTAGAAGAAATAGTGTACGTAGCATATTGGCCACTGTAACCTACTCTACTGAAAGACAACCTATATATAGAACCTGCTAGCTGTTTCCAAGCCATAGTCATTAAAGATTTTCCTCTTTTTCTTGCCAACTACTCTTGTAGGAACCAAGGTAGGTAAGAAACTGCAAAATGGTTAATCAGATTATTTTGCTTTCTATCAGGTGCACTCAATCTTCCATGCTTATATGTTCCAATTTGAGTCCAGAGGGAGTAACATTTTATGCAATCTGAATCTATTTCTGAATACATAAAAGCATACTTATATAATATGTATATATACATGCTTACATACCATGATTTGGGTGGTTAAAATCAACCACATAAACTGTTTCTGAGGTAACATGTAATGTACATGATATTCATTTATACCTAGGGGTATGTATGTCTCAATCATGGTCCTATAAATGAGGTGGAACTGGGTTGTTGATTTCAGTTTAAAGAGATTGATATTATATATATTCAAGTGAAGTTTCCTAATTATATTGAAGGAGACAGATGCAATTAATGCAAAATAAGGTTTCTATATGCTGAACACTTTTAGAGTAAGCATGTAGCAAAGAAAATGGTTTCTACCTTCAATTAGTAACACTTTTGCACATAAATTCCTTAAGATTTTGATAAAAAGAAAAGGGTTTATGAAGAGATGATTTGAATGTGTTAGACACGTCCAACTAAATTGTTGTAAGTGCTCAAGGATTTTCAGAAAAATTCAGGCTTTATTACTGGAAGAAGTGAATTAATACCAAGAGTAAATGCACCCTGCAAGACATCAACTAACCACACACTCTTCCCACCTGTTAATATTTACTTCACTTCTTTGAACTACTTTATATTCCATGCTTTCTCCTTTCTCCAAACCACTTCAAAAACCTCTGGTAACCCTTCTCTGTTCTACCTCTCTTGTGTGCTGAGAAGTTAGAAGCAACAATGGAGAGGAGAAGAAGCCATGCCTCTCTTACCATGTTTGCAATGCTTGTTGGATTCCTCTCTCAGAGCCTTGTTATTCCTGTAATGTCCATCACTGTTGAAGATCAGAAGAACTACTACACCCCAGATCCACATTCGGGAAGTCCCCCCTCAGGTTTCTCTGATTCTCTGTGTAATCCTCTAACTAAAGTACATACATTGGTCAAAAATTCATGCACAAAGCATAAATAGTTTACTTTTCTAACTACTTTAGGAATGAGATAACTTTGCATAACATAATATTATTATAATCTGTGGTTCTTACGTATCATGGAGTTTGAAATGAACCAACTTAGAAGTTTAAAGAAGATTTAAATCACGTTGATACACATTGTCTTGATGTCTTCTTCTTCACTCATTTCAGGCTCACACAGGAGTCCTCCATCTCATGGCCATGGAAGCTCTCCACCCTCACATGGTGGAGGGAGTTATCATCCAACTCCATCAACACCCTCAGGTGGAAACTGTGGATCATCACCCCCACATCATGATCCAACACCCTCAACTCCATCGACCCCATCAACCCCATCAACACCATCAAACCCTCCCTCAGGTGGATATTATGGAGGTAGCCCCCCAACACCTATAACTGTGAGCCCACCAACCACCCCAATAGACCCTGGCACCCCCACTATCCCCTCACCACCTTACATTCCTTCCCCATCTCCCTTCACTGGCACATGCAAGTAAGTTACTTCACAACCTTGTTCAATGTACCTACCCTATATATACATATGTAGTATACAGAACACTATATAATTCAGAAAATGTCTTCTTTTCCTCTCTATATAGTATACGCTATCCTTAGACCAAAAAGGAAGAGAAAGTTATGATATGAAAAACGTAGTTTCTACGTATAAGATATATCAATATGGAAAATGTTTGATGTACACAGTTCTTGACGACAGATATTCTTTTATTTATTTATTTATTTTCATTTCATGTCACTAGCAGTTTATATCTATGACAAGGGACCAAGGAGAAGTGAAGGGGAAAAATGATATAATTTTTTTTAAGTATATATTTTATAATAAGCTATTAAATGTTTTTTATTTATTTAAACTTCTAACAATATATTTTTATAATATTATTTGTTATACTTCTCTGCATTACACTATCAATTTAATTTACACTCTCTCTTGTTTCTCTTCTAAATTTCTTCTCTTATCTTATTTCAGAAAAAAAACATTGTAAAATTTTTAAGTGAAAATATCATAAAAGAGATATCTTTTTGGACAAAATATATTATTTTTCCAGTTATACAATAACCTGATGGATTTTTCCCTTTAATCTTCAGCTACTGGAGGAATCACCCAGCAATCATATGGGGAATCCTTGGCTGGTGGGGAACCTTGGGAAGTGCATTTGGGGTGACCAGTACTGTTCCAGGGTTCAGTCCTGGTCTGAGCTTGCCACAAGCACTTTCCAACACAAGAACAGATGGTCTAGGAGCACTCTACAGAGAAGGCACAGCTTCCTTCCTCAACTCCATGGTAAACAGCAAGTTCCCTTACACAACCAACCAAGTCAGGGAGAGATTCGCGGCTTCACTCAGCTCTAACAAGGCTGCACAAGCACAAGCTCAGCTCTTCAAGATGGCCAACGAAGGAAGAATGAAGCCTAGACCATGAGATTCATTAACTAGTCTTAGTTTATTTTGCTGTGTCAATTTACTGAGATAATAGCATTTATGTTTAAGATTTCTGTTAGTTTCTGTCATTTAAGCCTCTTACATGTCTTAATTGATATGTCCTTAGATGGATATCATGTTTCTTCCAAATTTAATACAAACTTTCTGCTATTGGTTTGAATAATGTTTGATAATTGTAGCAATTGGTGCTTGTACTGGTGGCAATATGTGTTATAAGCCGTCAGTCCATGCAGTTCACGAAGGTTTCGAATTCGGATTGAGTTTGATTTTTTTTTTTTTAATTGATTATAGAGTAAAAAATAAACCCGGCTTACTAAGGCACATGTTAAACAAGTTTGAACGGGTTATGGTGAGTTCACCTACAATTCACAATTAATTTTAAATTATAAAAATAATTATAATAATACACTTACTTTAATTAATAATTTATTTTAAATTTTAAAAATAATTATAATACTTTAGTAATTATAATTGATATTATTGAGCCTCATCTCCATTCTACATTATCGTTACCGACACAAGCTAAACTTTCACTTAATCTTGTTATCAATTGTTTGTCGTTGTGCTTGGATCACTTGTTTTATTATCTCGCTCACCGTACCACTACACCACCATATCTCCCGTACCATTTTCAAAGGTAAGAATTTGTAACATAACCTAAACGATTAGATCGATGAATCTTTATTTCAAAACTGTAACATCTATATATTATTTGTGGTGTGTTATTAATTTATATATATATATATATATATATATATATATATATATATATATATATATATATATCTTTATATATGAATTTTTGACTTCTTTCTTTCAAATTAATTTACAGTATGAAATCTAAAACAATACATCAAAGTGTCAATGTGAATTATGTTAGTGATGATTTTATTATTAATGAAAAATTCAATGAACCAATTTCAGCTAATATTGAGAAAGAAAGAAATAAGAAGTTTTTACATACGAAGTTTCTATATTATTTAAAAAATAAAAAAATAAAGATCAATGAGTTAACCTAACCCTCCAACCTCGTGGTGGGTTGAGCCAGATTTTAAAATTTTTGGCTCGCCAAAAAGTGAGCCGGGTTGATCTCACCTATTTTCAACTCAACTCGTGGTGAGTGGGGATAACTCACTTTCACACCCCTATAATCAAGAGACCTTCATTAATATCCAATATACAAGGGTCAATTCCATCTCGTTTAAATTCAAATGAATCTTGTGTTTTCTACAAGTATAAATTATTTCAAATTTATAAAAAAACACAACAAAAAGTTATTTGATATAAATAAAAGAATCTAGAACTTCTCATAAATAATTAACTTAAATATTCAAAAACTAGTTCTCTATACACACACGTGTGAAAACAAGCTAATTACATGAAAAAAGATGGCCATTATGCTCTAAAGGATACCCTTTATGAGAAAGGGTAGCAGTGAATAGCCATGGCAGGAGCAGTTAGTGGGTACTTAATTATTCTGCAAAAAATAAAGGGTACAAGGCTGTTGTTTGGTTTGGAACATTTATAAGGGTGGGTCAAGATGTGAATAAGATTCACTTTTACATGATACACCTTCACTCACTACTACAAATAAAGCTTTCAACGTCAGTTCTGGAAGGCTTTCAATGTCGGTTTAATAACCGACGTTGTATCAGGCGACGTTGAAAGTCGTAACTTTCAACGTCGGTTATAATAAACCGACGTTAAAGTTTTTACTTTAGATAGCGGTTATAAGGGAACCGCTATCTAATATAGACTTTAGATAGCGGTTGTAAGGGAACCGCTATCTAATATAGACTTTAGATAGCGGTTATAAGGGAACCGCTATCTAATATAGACTTTAGATAGCGGTTATAAGGGAACTGCTATCTAATATACAGTTATAAATCTACTTTCAACGTCGGTTTATTAGAACCGACGTTGAAAGTATGATTTTTTAAATTAATAATTTTTATTTATTTACAACCCCTTTACCCCTTTTATTTATCTAGAAGTCTCCCCTCTCTTCATATTATATTTTTATTAGGTCCTCCATCTCTTTATATTATATTTTTTAGAAGTTTTTTAATTTTTAAGAGAATTGTCATTGGCAGGATTCGAACCCAAGTACTTTAGAGTTGGAGGCTGATACTCCAACCACTAAACTACTTGAATTTTTTAATAATAACTTACAAATAAATTATATTTATATACAAATAAATATATATCCGTGTAATTATCACTACTAGAAAAATGTCAAATAGTAACTTCGAATCTCAACCCCAGCCTCAACCTCGACGAACTCGAGGCCGAACCCCAACTCTGGCGACATCGAACCCCAATGTCAAGCCAAACCCAATTGTCATGCTGTGAAACCCAACGCTTTGTTTTAACTGATACGACAACGTTTATATCAATTAAAACACTTTACAAAAAATCTTCTAAGTTGATTTAATCGATTGTTTCGCGATTCAATCGATTGAAATACTGCAAAACTTTCGCGTGACACTTTTCAAGTAATTTTAACTGATAAAAATAAGTTTTAATCGATTAAAACGCTGTGCAGAAATTGTTTTAATCGATTGAAACGAGATTTAATCGATTAAAATAGTTCTGATCGGTCATAACTGCATTCTGATCGATCATAATTGAAACAATATAATAGCGGTTCCAGGTTAACCGCTATCTAAAATGTATCTCGCTTGAGCGACACCCTTCTCGCTCGAGCGAAACGCCCCCTGCACAAAATTAGCATTCTCGGGTTGTATTTCGCTTGAGCGACACTACCCTCGTTCGAGCGAAATTAGATTCTGATCGATCATAACTTGGAATGATCGATCATAATTGACAGGATATAATAGCGGTTCTCTTATAACCGCTATCTAAAGTGTATATTAGATAGCGGTTATAAGGGAACCGCTATCTAAAGTGCATATTAGATAGCGGTTATAAGGGAACCGCTATCTAAAGTGTATATTAGATAGCGGTTCCCTTATAACCGCTATCTAATATACACTTTAGATAGCGGTTCCCTTATAACCGCTATCAATAAGTAAAAAATAAAATAAAAAAAGACTTTCAACGTCGGTTCATATGGGAACCGACGTAGAAAGTACTTTCTACGTCGTTTGACTAAGAACCGACGTAGAATGTGACCAACATTCAACTTTCAACGTCGTTTTTTAACCAACCGACGTTGAAAGTGTATTTAACGTCGGCTCAGCTTGAACCGACGTTAAATGGCGACGTTGAAAGCATATTTTGTAGTAGTGACTTTTAAATAATAACATGAAAAAAATTGTTAAAAAGATGAGCAGTAATAATACTATGCCTTACAACCTAATCTCAGAAAAATGCTAAAAACTCTATTAATCATTTACACCATTTCAAATTTCTTAAACAGTGTCTGAACACCCTTTCCACGTTAGATAGAAATAAATGCACACAATATAGTTGATGGTCATCATTTAGAAATCCTGAAAACATCTTCACCTTAAAAATCAATTGCAAATCATTCAAACACCACACTTCTACCAGGGTAACTCTAGGACCAACAAGTCCCTCATCATATTATAATTAGCAATGTAAGCATCAATGGCATCCACGATATTACTCAATTAACATTAACATCAACATTTCTAGCTACACATGTCAAGATAAAATCGGTAGGAGCAAAGTGTGTTTAGAATAAGAAAGAAGAGTCGTGGATGTTAACTTAATATGCATATCTGTATTTATTTGTTGGTTTTACGATTATAAGATAATTCTTAATGCATAAATAAGATTTTTAATATTCTGTGTATTAAAAACATCAATTTCTATACAAATTAACTAAGACTTAATTTGTTACAATAAAAATTGGCCTATTAGCTATTATATATATATATATATATATATATATATATATATATATATATATATATATATATTACAAAAAGTTTATTGTATAGTTTCTTTGACTTAAAAAGGAAAATTATTCCTCAAGATAATTCCATCTTAAGAAAATATTTTAAGAAAATAATATTCATTTCAAACTCCTTTAACCTTTGATAAATATTTTTGTAATATTTTATTTTTCTATGGATCATTTTCTATATCAAACATCTCTCATTTGTATATATAAGAAGTGTAGTCAATCACCAATATTTATATAGTCAAGGGTAGTGACATATCTTCTTGGAAGTCTGAGGGGTTGTGACCCTTCAAAAATTTTGTAACTCTCATATAATTTATGATTTTGGTTCCTCTAAACTTAATGATCATTTAATATATTTACTTATATATATTTACAATTTTATCATTTCATCATTCCTAACTCTTACATAATTTATGATTTTGTCCCTTCAAATTTAATGATAATTTAATATATTTATTTATACATTTACAATTTTATCCTCTCACCCTTTCATCTTCTTTCACCCTTTTATATTTATTTATTATTTAATAATAATATATTATTTGCCCATCAAAATCAATGGTCAAGATCCGTCAATGCAAGAGGGGCCATGCCTACTGACTTTTTCTAAGTAAAAACAAATAAATAAATATATCATAAAAAATTTAAAAGAGTGTATTAAATAAAAAAAGATTAAAAGAGGTTTTATTTTTAACATAATCAATTTTCTACTTTTAAATTTATCTTTCTTCTCTCACCCTCATTAACTGTAATTAGCTGTATTTTCGGACAAGATTACATTTAATCAATTTTCTACTTTCAAATCTATCTTTCTTCTCCCACCTCATTAGATTCTAGAGCTGCAATAAAATAAAAATACTTTTTTCCTTATTCTTTCATATTGTTTATTCTTTTATTAATAGTTTATTATTATTTATTATTATTTTGAATTTGTTGAGGAATATTTTTGTTTTAAAAAAATATTTTGTATGATTCTATAATTAGAAAAATAATTTATTAAATTTTAATTTAATGTTTAATTAGATTCTTAAAAATCATTTTTTTTCTTAAAATTTAGTTTAATTTTTTTTCTATAAATATAAAGC